ACATGGAAGAGGCCAGAAGGAGAACAAGATCCTGAGGAGTGGTCTCCAATGGGATGATTCAAGGAGGAATAAACGCTCAGAGCTTCTGCTCTCCTCTCATATGTCATGAAACTGGTTCTGGAAAGGTGAAGGACAGCTAGGATCGATGAGGAACACATCTTTCTTTGATAATCAGAAAAAAATAAAGTTTTGAAAGGTGCTTATATCAGGTGGTGCTAAAAGGCTTCAGAGTTGTCTATGTCTCTCCCACTTAACCTGACCTGCCTTCTGTTTGCAAGGCCCTGGGAGAGCCGGAAATGGTGAGGACCACGTTTCCTGCCTTCGAGATGCTTACAGGGGAGTAAGTGCTGAATCAGAGTCTAAGAAAGAAGCTAGGAAACCAGAAGCCATTCTGAATGGGAGGGGCACAGCGGAAGGCTTAGTGGAGAAAGGGGAGGAAAATAGGGGTCCATATTCTCCCTCTACAGTCTGTAGTAGTAAGCTCCTTCTCTGGAGAGACTCGGCAAATTGGAAAGATAATATCTTTGTGTTATCTATGACGCAAGTCTTGTTAAACAGAGTAATAGGGGGAAAAGGGGAAATGTTAGCCATTGGCCTCTTGAGACCATCCTCTGTTCAGTGTGACTATAGCTGTTTTTTGTTTTTTTGTGTTTTTAGATTTATTTGAGGGAAAGAGAGAGGAGAATGTGCATGCACATCGGGGGAGAGGCAGGGGGAGAGATCTCCAGCAGACTTCCTGCTGAGTGTGGAGCCCTACACAGGGCTAGACTCCACAACCCATGAGATCATGACCTGAGCAGAAACCAAGAGTTGGACGCATAACCAGCAGAACCCCCCAGGCCCTCCAGTTTGGCCATAGTTTTAACTTCCACATTGCCACATCCACTGGAGCAATGGAAAGAGACCCAGATGTTGGGGACTTGTTCCCCTGGCTCACTGACCCCTGAGGTAGGAGCCCCTTGCTCCCAGAGCCGGCACCCGGAAAGTGGTCTCCTTGGTCAGCAGAGTGGGCAAGAGTCTGAGGCAGCTGGACCTGGAGAAGCCAGAAGACTATTTACAAGCACTCCAGCGAATGAGTCATGTGTGTGGACATTTGTCACCACACCCCAGAGTCCAAGGTAAAGGAGAAAGACAAGCAACCATTACCAGCCTCTTTCTGCTCCTCCCTTGGGACAGTACATTAGCCTGTTCAGAGCACCCAGAGGTGGTTTATTTATTTACTTTATTGTTTATTTTGAGGATGGGGAGGAGCAGGGGAGAGGGACCTGCAGACTCGTGCTGAGTGCAGAGCCTGATGCAGGGCTTACTCTCATGCCCCTGACATCATGACTCGAGCTGAAACCAAGAGTCAGAAGCTTAACTGACTGAGCCCCCCAGGTCCCCACCTCCAGGCGGTTTTTGAGTGAGTTCTCTTGCAGTTGGGGGTGTACTGAGGAGCTGTGGGCAGGAGTGATTGGCAGGGGCAGGGTGGTAAACATTTCTCCTTCTGCTGGCTCTTCCTCTTACCCCCAGCATGGCTCTACACGATGTCTTATCCTGCGGGACTGTTCCTGGTTGCTTCCCAAAGCAAATCTGCACTGGTCTTCTAACCACACAGCTGGTGTCTGGGAGTCCCGGCACGCTGTGCTCTGCTGCTCTGGGAGGAGGACAGGTGGCTAACCTGGCCAGTCCAACCTGCCAGGCACCTTGTCCACGTGCTCAGAGCCAACAGAAACTCTTTTCCTCCTTCAGTCAGGGCTAGAGGCGGGCCGGTGAGAGGAACCAGAAGTCAACTTGCCGCACCCTGGTTGTGGGAGGTGTCTATAAACACTCCCGGAATGCAGTGAGGGGTCAGCTGCGAGGGGTCAGCTGCCCCAGGACCGCCTGGCCTGTGGGAGAGGGTGGGAGGGATGCCCAGGTGTGTTCTTCTGAGGGCAGGTAGGGAACAGGACCTTGTGGAGCGCCAGCCCTCTCGTGCTCCTTGTCTTTACACCTGCACACCCCCCAGCCTGGACTGTGGGGCTCTAAAATTAGGGGGAAGACAGACTTACTTCCGGGCGGTCAGCAAGTGAGGTTGGAGGGACAATGTGCTCCGGCTGGAGGAGGGGAGAAAACAGCCACCAAGGCACTCAAGCACCAGGTACATCTGGGGATCTGCCTCCTGGCTTCGCTCTAGCTCCTGAGGTTATTTCTAATTCCAGCCTCTAGTGAGCCCCCACACCTCTGAGTTAACCCCTGCCAGCGTCCAGTGTCTGGAGAGATCTTGATCTTGCTTTCCTGGTGGTTGGGGGGGACAGCCTTACCCTCCCCCAACCCACCATCTCTGCTTTAACCACAAAGCCTGTGTGTGTCTGACAGAAACCCAAACACATGAGGTCACAAGGTACTCATAATTTTTCCTTCCCCTTCGCCCCCCCCCCCCTTGTCCTCTAATCCTTTCCATGAATAGAAGGATGCTTGGTGTCCTTCTCAGCCTGTGAGTCTGTCCGGCTAGGTGTCATTCCTTGCTATCTTTATTGTGGGGCAGCCCTAACCATGTGAGTGTGGGGGCAGACGGGAGAGCAGAGCTGAAAACCTTTACTCCCAGGGTCACGTTGGACCTCAGATCTCTGACTTTGTCCAGCTGGGATGTAATGGAGCAGTGCACAGGTAGGAAAACCAGGAGGGAAGTCAACGCCTTATTGAATACAGAACCAGCTAGGAATAGACAGCAAGTACGGATAAGGGGCATGCTGGAGTGGGGCCAGAGGTAGACAGGCCCCAGGTGAACATGAAGGCATCTGGCTGTGACCTGCCATGACACTGGCCGCTGGGTGACTTCTGCTCATACCTGCCTTATGACGTGAAACACAGCCTCCTCACACCACTGCTCAAAACCCTCGGAAGGCTGGCTCACCCCAGCCTAACGCTGTGGTATAACCTCCTTAGTCTGGTGTTCGTGATCTACGGGATCTGGGCCCACCTACCTGGGCTGTCTTATCTCTACCATCCACCCCAGTACCCTCCTAAAATAGTCCACATTCCAACCCAAGGGGGTACTCATAACCCCTAAACATGCCATGAACTTTCTTTCTGGCCACCATACTATTGCTTAGGCTGTTCTGTTCTCTCTTGCTGAAATGCTCCCCCCCCACCTCGTGTCCCCCTCTCTGCCTGTCAAATCTGGTATATGCTTCAGAGCCCAGCATAATGTCATTTCCTTCAAAAAAAATCCACCTACTTAGAGAAATAACTCCAACCTCAAAATCCCCAAAGCACTTTATTGGTATAGAACTTCCTCTTTTTTCTTTTTCTTTTTTTTTTTTTTGAAGATTTTGTCAGAGAGGAAGAGAGAGTGCACAAGTAAGGGGAGCAGCAGGCAGAGGGAGAAGCAGACTCTCCACTGAGCAGGGAGCCCCATGCGGGATTCCATCCCAGGCCCCCAGGATCGTGACCTGAGCCCACGCCAGACACTTAACTGAGCCACCCAGGTGCCCCTGGGACTTCCTTTATAGCATTTGTCATGGTGTGCCTTGGAACTGGATCTTGTTCAGAGGGCTTTGTGCTTTCCGTAGCTCTTAGCATGGGCACCAAGTAAGTTCTCAGTAAATCTTTATGGTAATGAATGGACCCATGAGGTTGAATGACACCAATAGATGGTCAAGAAGCAGAAGTGGCCCCAGAACAGCACAGTTCTTTTAGGGCTTGCCATCACTTACCTGTCTGATGCCTCCTTTCTTTCCCTTTTCTATCACCATTACATATTTATAACATACTGGGTATCAGGTCTTTCCCACACAGGAGCTACCCTCAGTTGCAAACCTCAGGCATCATGCCTCTTCTAACTTCCTCCATGGGAAAAGGATACACTATGTGCTCATGGTTGGCGGATGCAACCTGCACACTTTTCAATTCCATAGCAGTCCCTGGGGACCTACGGTGTACCAAGGTTTCTGCCAGGGGTTACGGAAGGAACAAGTTAAGTAAGTTACCACCTGGTCCCTGCCCTGACAGGGACTCCTGGAAGCTTACCCATGGGGTAAATGTGAATAACTCACCAGGATTTGGGAATGAAAGGAATCTGCCAACCCCATGGACATCTGGAATAAGGAAGTGAACGACTGGAAGCCCAGAATTAAGGAGCAGGGAGAGACTGAAGAGGATCCAGCTCGGGATAGCTGGGGGACTAAATGGAGAGGGGGTAGCACTCGGTTCTCCTGAAGTCTGGTTTGGCAATCCTATTTTCAGTTCCTCTTTTATTCCCCTTCCCCAATTTAGCCTCTTAGCCTCACCTTATTTGGCGAGGGCAGGGCAAAATAGTAGGACACTCCCACATCACCTCCTGACCGCCCCCCACCCGCTTACGTTCCCCTTTTCAGGCCCTCAAATGATCCTCCTCCCTCCCCACCCACCTGGCGCCTTCCCAGAACGCGCCAACCTCCAGAGTAAACTACTGCCTGGCTAAAATCAAAAGAGCAGTGAATTTGGGATCGCATTCATTATCGCCCTCACAGCTACCCCTGATTAAGAGCTCACCGTGTGCCGGGCTACATTATCGTTTTTACAGCAACACTAGGAGGAGATTGTTATCTCATTTTATGGGTGAAGGAACCGAGACCAAAAGATGTTGAGTAATCTGTGCCAGCTCACACACCTGCCAGTTGGCGGTGCCAGACTGGGAATGAGGTCTGACTCCCCAGGCAGTGCCCCGGTCAGTTCCGGTTGGGCCGTACGACCTTTGGCAGTTGGGGACCCCATCCCTTAACCAACACCCCTCGTACCGGAATTCTCCAAGCCCCGCCCCGCTCCGGCCGCGCCTGCCTCCGGCGCCCTGGTGCTCGCCAGCCTGAGCCGCAGAGGCCCGCTGGGCGCTGGCAGGTGGGGTGGGCGGGGCCGGCGCGGCGGCGCGGGTGGGGAGAGGCGGGCCCTGGCGGGGGCGTGGCCGGAAGCCTTAAAGGGGCTGGGGCCGAGGGGCGGGCCGCAGAGGTCGGTGATCAAGGCGGTAGCGTTCTCGTTTTGTAGCCGCCCGCGGCGCCGTCACCATGTCCCTGGCGGCCTCGGCGGGCCGGGGGTCGGGGTCCGTGTGGTCCCCAACGCATGTGCAGGTGACGGTGCTGCAGGCGCGGGGCCTGCGGGCCAAGGGCCCCGGGGGCACGAGCGACGCGTACGCGGTGATCCAGGTGGGCAAGGAGAAGTACGCCACCTCGGTGTCGGAGCGCAGCCTGGGCGCGCCAGTGTGGCGGGAGGAGGCCACCTTCGAACTGCCGCCGCTGCTGTCCGCCGGGGCCGGGCCCGCGGCCGCCGCCACCCTGCAGCTCACCGTGTTGCACCGCGCGCTGCTCGGCCTCGACAAGTTCCTGGGCCGGGCCGAGGTGGACCTGCGGGAGCTGCACCGGGACCAGGGACGCAGGAAAACCCAGTGAGTGCGGGCCAGAGGAGAGGACAGGGGGCGGCGGGCCGGGGAGCGGGGCAGTGAGGGGCGGGGAACGTGAGGCTAGCCGCTGAGATTCTTTTAGAGCGAGCGCGGCAGTCACCGCACCGCTGTGTCCCAAGGGGACGGACGGAGAGAGGCCTTTGGTCAGGGATCCCCGTGGACGATAATCATAGTCTCACCGAGGTTCAACTTCTCCTTGGGTTGTCCCGCCCCAGCTCTCCCAGCGCGTGGGCTCTTTGAAGCCGGCGCTGGGGGTGGAGGTGGGGGAGTACCTGGGGTATTTTTGAATCTGTAGGGACGTCGCTTAGCGCCCGGAACTTAGTAAGCACTTTATGAATTTTCGATGAATTGGAAATACATGTGGGCTGCCGAATTCTTCTTCCTAGTGTGGGTAGTGTGGATGTTTGAAACACTCATTGGCTTATGTGGAAAGCCTCCTGGGTATTTCACTGTCCTAAACAATGAGCTGGGATGGCTGAGTCCGGGAGCAGGGAGGATCAAGGTGGAGGGTGAACCCCACTGACACTCTGTGGCCTTAGAGGCTCACCCAGGGACAGAGCTGGGGCATTAGAATGCAGGGTGGAGGCCACCCAGAGATGTAGAATCTTCACCCCCACCTCAACTACTGCCTAGTGGTTAGTGAAGAGAATCTGCCTCTCCCTCTTCCCCTTTTTTCTCCCCACCCCCCTGGGCCCCAAAGCCTGCTAGAACAGCTTGGTCTTCACTTTCACACTGAAAATTTTTAACTCTGTTTCCCCTGAGCCCCAAGTTAGTAAGGATTTCCCAGCGCTGGTCAGAGTCTGTGTCTGCCCTTGGCCCAGCTACAGTAGGAGGTAGACATTGTTTCTTCTCCGCCTTTGTCGGGTTCTCTCTGGTCCTATTCTGAAAGGGTGGCTGCTCACCTGTAGCTTCTCAGTCTAGAGTTGTGTGCTAGGGTATCTCACTTCCACAGGGAAAAGCTGGGCACCACGCAGTTCACTTCAAGGTGTCACCCATTTATTTGTTCTCTTTCGCAGGTGTTTGCCATGGAGCGTTTGATTATGGAACATTTGATTATGCTCACGTACTGTACCAAACACTGGCCTCCTTGGCTTAATTGGTTACTTTGCTGGACCTTACATATGCAAATAAGTCATATTACCACAACTCCTACAGCTTGTGAAGCACATGAATTCACATTGGGTGTTTTAGATATAAATGGTATTTTAACTTTCCCTGGTGGAGGGGACGGAAAAAGCCAGAGGGTTTGAAGTTACCAGACTCCCTTTTCTGCATCGTGGGTCCAATTTCAGCTTGCATGCTTGCAAATGCAATACCTGATTCACTTATCTGGCCCAAGATGAATAGGCATTTCTGAATTCAAATCAGATAAAAATAGCCTTGAGGTGAGGATGGATAGGGTATCTCTTGGCATTAACTTACAAGCCATAAGGTGAGCAGTGCCTTTGCTGAGGAGGCGCCGAAGCAATGCTGATTTTCCATTTGACTGACATTTGGGGCCTTGGATTGGCTTCCTTTCCAGCTTCAAGTGGGCGCCATTTGGCCATCCGTTGTCTTGTTCTGTCCCAAGATGCGCGGATATTATCATCTGTCTGCCGTCTGTTTCTCGGGTGAACATTTTATTCCCTTGAAAGACAGTGTGTCCCCGCCAGAGAGGAGGATTCCAGATTCCTAGGTCTGATGCCCACTGTGGTCCTGACTCACTGTTAGGCTTTGGGCTGCTCCGTCTCTAAACACCCAGATTTCCCTATTTACACATGGAGCTTGTTGCCAGGCTTAATTGATATTTATAAGATGTTTCTGGGCTCCTGGATTACTGGGGCCGGTGTGTAGACTCAAAAGGTTCTGTTACTGCTTTGTGAGAAACAAAAATCTTAAGTTCCCTATTTTAGGAAGGGTTCAGAGGTCTGCAACTTCATTTCTGTCCTCCTCTCCAATGTAACCCTGAACCTAGATGGTTATTCCCATCTCTACGGTATGGGCTGATTACCACTTAGTCACAGTATCAACCTGTAGGAAAGTGATGCTTAGTTGATGTGTTAGGTTTCCCCCCCACCAATAATTGCAAACAAAGTCTTCTTTGCCACCTCAACAGTAGGTGAAATTGTAAACTTTCCACCTGCTGCTTCCTGGGACTTTCCAAGGGGAACCTAGTTAAACCAAGCCTCTCAGCTGCCCCAGTACGTTCCTTGAGATTTGAGAGATTGAGATATATAACAAGAAGCGGAAGTTTACCAGAAAGAAACTGGTTGGGTTAGAAAAGTCATTTGAACTAGTTATTAAAGGTTTGACTCCACCTTAGATATAAAAAACCAGCAACAAAACAGAAGCTCAAATTTTGGTCTCCGGGTTTGTGTGTGTGTGTGTGTGTGTGTGTGTGTGTGTGCGCGCGCACGCGCGTGCATGTATGTGTGTTAATCTCGAGCAAAGAAGAGTTGCTGCTGTAGAGTATGACTCTTGTCATGGGTCCAGAAACTCAAGACGTCAAGAGCTAACTGTGCTAGAATTTGCCTTGGTTCTCTTGATAAGCCCTCATCTGTCATACATTTGGAGGCAAAAGAATATGCTTTTCGGGGCTCAGATTTTGCGGACCTCAAATTTAGTGTGATGACACATCTTTTAAAATGCCACGCAGTGGATGACCTATGGTATAGGTAGGCATAGGTAGGATACTTTCGATAGGGAGGAGTTTATAGCGCCTGTCTTTAAGAGGCAGTTGAAATGCATTGATTTTGCACTTATCCTTACCTGTTAAAGACCCAGGGTCAAAGTTGGGCCTAGGTTAAATGGGAACCAGTTTAGTCTCATGATCATAAAACAGATATGAATCTGTGAGGCAGAAACAGGTAAGCAACATGTGGGATTCTCTGCTCAGCTCTCTAGTCCCAGGTAGTTTGGGATCCTAGACTGATCTAAGGGGATTAAAAAAAACTTTTGGGGGTACTAAAAGCAACAAAATGTGGGGAAATAATCTGTTTGGGGCAGATTAAAAAACAGCCATTCAGGCTGACCACTGTGTAACTAATATCGTGAAACTTAATACTGCCCTAGTCTTTCAGCCAGGAAGACAGAGTGAGTGATGGAGAGTCATTTTCTTAACACCTCTTGAAGATTCAAGAGGGAATTTGGTTGCATATGAAAGGATTTGGATATTAATAAAGGTTAGAGATTTTGAAGAACTGTAAATATAGTAAGTATAAGTGTAGTAAGTTGTCAAAGGAAATCCAGGTTATTAAAAAGAAATAAGGGCTCAATAGTTGTTTTTCTGGATGGGTCGGAGGCAGAGAAATGATTTAGATGCGCAGAGAGATAGATAATAAGCAGTCAGTGTTTGTGCCTGTACTGTGAAGCCTCCTCAGTGCATTTAGGATTTTTTGTAACAAGTTGGCAAATTGGAGCAGTGTTACTGATTAAGTTTTTCCTTTCTTGGGATTCCCCTTAAAGATAACATTGGGCCCTGCTGGAAACCATTCCTCAGCTCAGGGGCCCCAGTCCCCTCCCACTCCTGTGTAGGAAGCTGAGATCTCCAAACTGGAGATGCCCGGGGACTGAGACTCTGTCATGCTCTGGGAGAAGTAACCCTAACTTGCTTGTAGCCATGAAGTGAAGTGACTAAGAGGAGGGAGGGGACTCGAGAGTCATGGTTCTGGTGATGGGCAAGAAGTTCCCCCATAGTATTATTTGATTATGATTTCATCTCTAAGACATTCAGTTAGCTTCGGGAAAGTTTCAACTGCCTTTTTTTTTTTTTTTTTTTGGTCTTTAAAATCTATGTTTTTAGTACATTGTTTTAATTGAAGTAGAGTTGCCACACAATATTATATTAGTTTCAGGTGTGCAACATAGTGATTTTATGCGGCGCTCACAAGTGTAGCTGCCATCTGTCACATACAATACTATTACATTACCACCGCCTGTTCCTTGTGCTGTGCCTTTCATCCCCATGACTTGTTCATTCCATAACTGGAAGCCTGTACCTCCCACTGCCTTTTACCCATTGTGCTCATCCCCCACTTCCTCCTCCCCGGGCAACCACCCACTTTGTTCTCTGTATTGATGAGTCTGTTTCTGCTATTTGTTTTGGTTTTTAGATTCCACGTATAGATGAAATCATACAGTATTTGTCTTTCTCTGTCTTACTACACTTAGCGCTATACCCTCTAAGCCCATCCATGTTGTTGAAAATGGCAAGATCTCATTCTTATGTTTTTGGTAAATATTTTTTAATACCTCTATGTGCCAGGCACTGGGGTATAAACAGTGACCCAAACAGACATGATCTTTACTTTCAGGAAGCTCAGAGCCCTGTGGGGAAGATAGACATTAAACAAATGAATACATAAATAAATAATAATGTATTATGATAAGCACTGTGGAGGAAGAGAACAGGGTGTCATTAAGAGAATGGAGGGGGAAAGACATGACTTAAAGAAGGAGATGGCAAATAGCTTCTCTGAGGCTATTTATAACCTTAAGTACAAAGAGATTTTTCTGGTGAAAAGGAGAGGAGGGGGACCTGGGGGAGAGGGAGATGCCTATGCAAAGGCCCTGAGGCAGGAACTCCTGAGAAGTTGGAGAGATTGTGTAGATTGAGGCTGAAGAGGAGGGCAGGGCTTTATTTAAGAGCAGTGGGAAGTCCCTGAGTATTAAAAGCAGAGGGGTGTTGTGATCCACATTTTTAAAAAAGTCACTGGCCACTGGGTGGACAATGGATCTGAAGTGGTCCTCAGCTGGAATCAGACAGCCAAATGGGAGGCAGTCGCACTAATCTAGGCCACCAATGGTGGTGGGTTGCACTAGGGTGACGGCCATGGAGGTAGACAGGTGGTAGATTTCGGAAATATTTTGGAGGTTCAGTTGGCCTGATTTGTGATGGGTTGCGTGTGGGTGGGGGTGAGAGAGAGGAAGTGATAAAAATGAACTAATAAAGTAGGGAGAGTTTGCTGCTGAAAATGAACCAGGAAGTGGTGGCGATTTCTTTCCCC